AAAAAAAAAAAAAAAAAAAAAGAAAGATTGTCTCCCATCTTTATGGCACTCTATGGTCTTTGACATTTATTGCTTTCTTAATAGCTCACCAGAACTCTGATATAGTTGTAGTTCTCTTCCCCTTTTTCAGCTAACAAGCCTGACACTCAAAAGTTCCAAAGGTGAAGGTATAACCGAGGACCTGAGGAAATTGGAGGACTCCCCCCATGGTGTTTTTCATTGTCACTTAAAAAATACAAACAAAAATTACTTCCAGGCTCTTTGTATGATACTTAGATGGGCTGGGAACATAGCTTACTGGTACAGCACTTGCCTAGAATGCACAAGGCTCTGCCTTTGATCCCCAGAACAACCAACCAATCAATCAATCAATCAATCCCAAGGCTCCCCTTACCTCTTTACTCCATATCTACTATACACATCATGTGTCACTGAAATATAGTTTTGTTTTTTGTAATTTAGGGAAGGGTCTACAGGGTGTTCAGGGTCTCACTACTAGATTGGATTTGTAGTGATCCACCTGTTTACAGCCTCCCAAGAGCTGGGATTACAGGTGTGCGCCACCACGCCCAGTGTCAATTGCTGTCTCAGTGAGCCCCAGGGGTGGGGCTGGCATGGCCAGCTCAGGGATCGAACCCCCAGCCCCTGTGCCTGCTTGCAGGCGCTTTAATGTGCTGAGCTATTTGGCTGGCCAAATACAGTTTTATAATTTCCTTTGAATTCCAAAGTTACAAGGGCTGGCCTGACAGCTAAGCAGACTCAAGCACCTGCTTAGGCAGAGTGCAGTGGCTGGGGTTTGATCCATGATCTGCCTGCCAACCCTGCCCATGGAGCAGGCTAATGCTGCGACTGAGACTGGGTGTGGTGGTGCGCCTGTAATCCCAGCACTTGGGAGGCTAAAAACAGGAGAATCACTATGAGTCAGATCTACATAGTGAGACCCTGTGGACCCTGTAGACCCTACCCGAAATACAGAGGAAAAAAAAAGAATTTCAAAGTTACAAATCTGGGTCAAAAGATACATTTCTAAGGGATATGATACTTTGCCAAACATTTCTAAATAGACTAAATCAATTGATTTATTCCATAAACTGTAAATTCAAAAGTCTGTTTCTCCATATTTTGACTGGTCACCGTGGTACTGTAACTTATGAGTTTGGGTAAAGTAAAAAGGATAGTTACCATGTGCTAATCCTCACAACAACTGGTGGTCAACATTATTATTCCTATTTTATTGGTGAAGACATTGAGAGGCAGTTTAAGTAACTTTTCTAAGGTCACATGGCTTTAAGTGATGGGAATTCAAACCCAGGCAGTGTGACTATCAAGTTTGCATTTTTTTTCTCTGTGCTATCTTGCTTATGCATATCATTGTTCTAACTTGAATTTATTTGGTTAAAAGTGAACTTAAATGTTTTTCATGTATTTAGAAGCTGTTTATATTTTTCTGTTTATTTCTTGTGTGTGTGTGTGTATGTGTAACCAGGGATTGAACTCAGACCCTTGTGCTTGCCAGGGAAGAGCTTATTCTACTGAGCCATCTCCCCAGCTCTATTTTTCTGTTTATGTGCTTATTTTTGAGACAGGGTCTCACTAGGTAGTCCAGGCTGGCCTTGAACTCACTATGGAGCCTGGAGAGGCCTCAAACTCAAAGCAGTCCTCCTACCTCAGCTTCCCAAGTGCTGGAATGACAGGCATGTGCCACCATGCCCAGCTTGTATTTTTCTCTTTCTCATGGCTCTACTACATGTTGTCCTTCTGGGAAAATTTTTAAGCCTGACCTTACAGTTAACTTCCTTGATTCTTTCTCAGGGTGAGGTCATGGGAGCTTTGTTTCTGATATAATTACTTCTCTGTCTAAGTTTAGCCTGGTGTCTTTAGAAATGAGTTATGGTGCACCCAAGCCTGGCCTCTGTGTGTGTGTGTGTGTGTGTGTGTGTGTGTGTGTGTGTGTGTGTGGTCCCCCTGTGGTGGTATCACTCCACCTGGTTGCCTTCTTATTGAGCCAGATCCAGACAAGTGGTTGCATGTGTTCTCAACCCAGGGGAAGAGAGCTGGGCTTGGACTCACTGCTGCTGTCTTCCTTCACTAACAGGATTCCCAGAGTCAGAGCCGTCCTCCAGCTCTAGTAGCTGGAAGCATTGTGGATCCCGCTGACCCAGAGCTTTGAGGCCAGAGCGGTCCTGAGAGGAAGTCACTCAGGTGAGATGTGAGGGCTGCCTGGTGGGAGGAGGATATCTGGTTTCAGCCCTTTTATAGATGAAGAATTTGGAATGTTTCCCTGACTTTTCATTTTTACAGGAAAAAGGAAAAAATGTGCAAAATCTTTAACATGCCTAAGGCATGTAAGTACCAGACTCTTGCTCCAGACTTCTGTCTCTCTTCTTTTTTTTTTTTTTTTTT